GGAATACAAAAAAAGTTTTAAACAACATGCATTTATGGAAGTGTATTTAGTAATGAGGTAAGAAAGGTGTGCAAATATGTTCTACTAAAGACATGCTATAGTGGGAATAAAGATATATTTTATTAAAAAGAAATACACAAGAAACCGTAGTAGATTTCTCAAAATGCACTACAGAACATGACACTTCCTACTGCTTCTCAAACCATACAGAAACACCTTCTTCATGTAATTTTGAAATTCAAGGCACAATCATCAACTATAGAAAAACAGAATCCAGTCCTATAAACGTAGCAAAAAAAAGTAAATATACACGTGTATCCATGTATCCAGACTCACATTCCCCCACCCTGCCATGCTGCTATTACATCTCCCCCTTATCAGCTTTGCAGAGCCAAAATGCAGAAGAGAATATTACCAATTGTACCATACAAGAGGGAATCAAATTTAATAAACATCTATCCTTTACACCATTCCAAGCCAGCTGAAAACTGTGGATTGCCTTAGGTGGCAAGAAGATGTTGCCATTTCTGATAGAAAATTGCATCATAAATGACAATGAGGAAGAAAAGGATTTGATAAAGAAATGACATGATACATTTGTAGGAGTTGTAATTTAAAAAAAAAAAACTTTTAAAGAGGAAAAAAAATTTAAATCATTTAAATAACAGAATTGTTGAGGTATAATCATAATGGAATGAGAACTACAAAACCTTCAAGTAGAGACCTGAAATTAAAAGTTATGCCTTTCACATGAATTCCTCATCTTTTACAAAAATTCCTTGAGAGCGGTTTTTAAATAGACTGTAAGCAATTGAAATCCATTTCTATCCAGAGAACTAAAACCATCTTTGGTACCACTATACTGTTTCCTTTGGTTGTACACTTTTATGTATTTCCCCCACATGTTTGACCTCTCTACTTTTTAGAATACATTTATTCCAGTGGCAAGTGCCACTAGGCTGTGGAGGTGTTCCAGTAACCTATTAAACTTCTCTCAGTGTTTCCATTCTCCTCCCTTCATAGGGAAATCTGTGCATGCATTTAAGTTTAAGTAGGTGGGAAAATTTTATACCTCAATCTTGATTTAGATGGAAATGTCTTCAGCACAGAGACTGTCTGCTACTCTCTGTTTACATGTTAGTCTGCAAAACTGCTCTCTATCCTACTTACTTGGTCCAGCACTGGACCCCAATAAACAGTCAGCACAGAAATATGGGCTTCACTTCCACTCTTTATTGTAACACTTGACTCATGCTTCAAAAAAAAGTGGCACAATTAGATTTTAGTAATTCAATTACTCTTTAAACTAATTTCTTAAAATCATTAAAATGATCCTAGTGGTTACTAGAACCACTTTGCAGTTTTCATTACAATTTAGGGGCTATTTTATTTAACTTGCAGCATATAAAAGAGAGAAGTGTCTGTTCTAAGTAACAGCAGTACTGAAAACAGATTTTTTAACATTCATAGTTTAAGAATGACCACCACAAATTTTTAGATTCTGTGACCTTTAATAGAATCAGACAATTAAAAAGGCTGCAGTCGTCAGACCAGATTACTGATTTCAAGCAACCCCTCCCCCAATCATGTGACCATGCTCTGCACTCTATCAATTAAAACTTATTTAATCTTAGTCACTATCATACATGTAAATATTAAACAGTAACCTGTAAGGGCCTGTGACATATTGCTCGCTAACAATTTTGTTTCAGAAGAAGCTAAATATTCCCAACATTTTGCTAAACAACACCCTAATCTGAGAACAATACAGAAATTATATGATTCCTTTTCCTTTGAAACCGCTTTGTGTTCCATAAGCATGCCTTTCCTAATCCCTTTTCCACTACTGAGAGCAAAGAAACAGATTAAGCAAAGAATCAGATGCTCTTTCTGCAAGTATTTGAACAGGCACCAGCTCCCAAACTGCAATGCAGGTGTTTCTGGTGAACTCAAAAGTCATGATCCATGGTCTGTAATCAGTGTATATAATCACATAACACTGAAAGTATTTTCAACTGATACTAAGAATCAATCATACTGACAAAGGTCAGTTAATCCAAGTTCAGATTTAAGACAGTTCCACTGCCCACAAAGATATAAAGATAAATTATACGCTTTTAATTGTCCAACATCTTATTGATTTCCTCACTTAACAAGCCTCTTCCACTCCACCACGGAAAGCTTCATTAATTAAACTTTTAAGACACTATTAGATACCTACTAATTAACAAAGACAGCCTTACAAAACTAGTAGCCACGTTAGTAACGTTAGTGCAGAATGTAGTAACGTTAAGTGCAGAAGACATCGCAGTGGGATGTGAAAACATATCTGTGTTTGCCGACAGTTGAGCTCAGGCTAACAAATCACAGCAGCCTCCCCCTCCTGTGCTCCTGCACTGCCTCCCCAGCTCCCAAGGGAGCCCCAGACTTGGGAGGCTAGAGCTGGCTTCATGCAGGCAGCTGAATACTCCATTCCAGAACCAGATTTTCTGGGAGTAGCAGTAAAGAGACATCCTCTGTGTATCCGTATTAACCACTTAATTTGTTGAGTTAATAAATGTATACAATATCCTGGGAAACAAAAATGTGTCTTCAGTTAATAAACTAGCTCTTACAGTCGCTTGTTCAAACCAATGCATACACAAAGTCAGCAGTCAGCCAGTTTCAACTTACCTATTAACTGCTTAAAAGTAACACATTCCCTCAATCATACACAGCCAGACTTTCCAGTTCCCAGTACACTGCCTGCTGCAATAGAGCAGTGTCCTCTGGAAACCAGTGCTTCACACTACCAGTGCCACTGGAAGCGCACAGGTTCTTTGTATTTATTCCCTCAGCATTTTTACATGCATTCTTTCATAAGCTTTAGTTCATAACAAGCTGATGAACTACTTCTTGCCAAGCCTCCCAGAAAAAAAGTGCTGAGTCCTGACTTCTCTATTGCACAATTTATAGACAGCTTTTTATCCAAGAATCACATTTAACCTGAAAAACCAGGCACGTCATGCTAAAGGACATGAGTATTTCCAAACCAAAGAAGTCTAAGCCTGAAAAAAACCCTCACTATTTTGAAACGATGAAAATATATTTGCTGTTCTTTTTTGACAAATCACAGAGAAAAAGCATTTCCACACATGCTTTCAGGCAGCAGCACAAACAGGCAGGAACTGCTGATATTTTGCCAGAAGTGCCAGATAGATCAATACTATTAACAACTACTGCCTGTCTCTGCAATCTCTCACCTCCTGCCTTGCAAACTTTACTAGGCTCATTCTTTATCATCATTATTACTAAAGATAATTTTGTACTAAACTAGCAGACAGCATCTAATACCAGAAATATGCAGATACTAAGAAAGATTTAATATTCTGATTGAGTTCCATTAAAAATCAAACACCAATCCACTAAATTCAACATAGAGAAAAAAAACAAATTTTTTTTTTCAGAACTGTAATAAAAATCTCTAAATCTCATAAAACTGCTTGTGACCCAAATGCTTATACCAACTTCGATCTTGTATTAATTATTAAGCAGTTCTACCTTGCAATTAAAATTATTCATTACTATGAATATTCAGGAAGAGGTTGTCTTTGTTACAGAACTGTTGATGTTAAGACTATCGGGTTAATAGTGCATAATTAAATCCAGGCATTTAAGTGCAAGAGCTTGCAGGGCAGAAAATTACCTCAGGAACAAGATTATTTTGAATTCAACTCCTTGCTTTAGTGGTTTTGGGAACTGGCAAAACAGGAAAATCCTGAAAAGGGTGTTTAAACACCTAACCTGGGTTTTGTTCACTTAAGACACGTTAATAATCCATTGCTAGTGGCAGTTCTTTTGTAAGAAGGGACATCAACAACTGACAAGATTCTTTTTGCTGAAGAGGCTCTTTTTAAAATATATGCTTACTGCAAAACAAATCAACTGAACATGCACTGTAAGAACTGATGTAACAGGTAGATGGAGCAAATTAATCTGCAGCACAAGTAAGATTCCCCCCTCCTACAAGTTACTTCAGAGAAGCTGCTAGAGGAGTCAAGATACACAGACGCTACTCCTTTCATTGTGCGTGTATGACTGGGATGTGGAATGTGCTCTCACTCTGTTCAGACCTGTCCCAGATTTCCCACTGATTTGAAACAGGAGGGAAAAGAGCCTCCCTCTCTCGAGTGCTGCCAGACATCCCCCGCGGGAAGGCAGGGTGGGCTCTCACCATCAGGTTCAGCGGCACGTTCCGAGGATCTTTAAAGACAGAGAAACAGCCGGCTCTTGGCGAGACAAAAGCGGCTCACGCCAGGCACCCGCAGCCCGGCTGTCCCGGAGGAGACAGGGAAGAGGAAGCTCGGGATCCCGCACACCGAAGGGCGGGCACGGCCCTGAAGGAGCAGATCCCCAAGGAAGGCTGCTTTAAACCGTATGGCCGGGGGAAGTGCGTTTAAATTTCTGTGTGCGGGAACTGGAAAGCGGATTAAATCCCACCTGTGCCCAGAGGCAAGCAGACACACACTCAGGAAAAGGACAAACAGGGAATGCCGAAGCCCCGCGCGGCAGCTGGCGAGGCCAAGGCTGTTCAGGTGTCGCTGTGAAGGAAGGGGCTGACGGAGGAGACTGCAGAGTTCAAGTTACCCCCCCCCACACCCAGTTACGAGGAAAGCGGATGGAACCGCCTGGATCGGGGTTCCTCGGGCGTCAGGAGGAGCGAGAAGCGACGGCTCGGGCTCCCCCAGCTGAAGGCGGCGGGCGACCCTGCCCCGCCGTGCGCTGAGGGGCGGGCGGATCGTGAGCCCCGCGGGCCGGGGGAACGGCGCCCCAGCCCTTCCCCCGCTCCTTTTCTTTCCCTTCTCCACTCGGGCGAGCCCCATTTCCTCCGAGCGGCAGTCGAGGGCGCTGCTCGGGGCCGGGCGGGAGAGGGAGCGGCAGGAGCCAGCGCCGGTAGCGCCTTGTTCTCTGCAGCCAGGCCAGAGAGGGCTGCGCGCCCCACGCCCCCCGCCCGGGCTCACCTCCTCGATGGCCGCCACCGTGTTCCTGCACTGGGCCATCCGGGTGGTGAAGTTGGAGGCGGTGGGTGACTTGTAATCCTCATTGGTCTCGGACACGAATTCCGACACGGAGATCTGGTCCGGCATGGCGGGGCGGGGATGAGCGAGGGGAGGGAGGGGGAAAGCAGGCGGCTCCAGGGGCAGGGAGGGGAGGGCGCAGGGGGGGGCTCCCCCTCACATCGCTCGGCAACCGGCGGCGGCGGCAGCGCCCTCCTCGCAGCCCCGCCGTCTGGAGCGGTGTTGTTCCTCCGCCGCCACACAAGGAAATTCCCCGCACCCACACTCCTCCTCCTGCTCCTCCCGCGCGGTCACGCAGCACCGGGGGCCGGGCACACGCCCAGCCGCGGGAGCTGCCGACGCACCCCGCCCTCCCGTTCGCTTTCTCCCTCTCGCTTTCCTCCTCCTCCCTCGCTCCCTCACACGCTGGCGGGGCGGGGGCGCGGCCTCGCGACCCCCCTGCAGCCCCCGGAGCGGACCTGCCGCCGCGCACTCGCCACCGCCGCCCGCCCTGAGAAGATGGCGGCCCCCTCCCTCTCTCCCTCCCTCAGCCCGTCCTCCCCGAGCCCCGAGGGGAGAGGAGGTGGCAGGCGCCGGCTGGGTAATCCCAGCGACAGGCAGGACGAATCCAGACGTGTGGTATGGATAGTGTTTAACAACAAAAACCCAAGGGCAGGGGAAGGTGAGGCACAGTGCCTGCCTGGTACGAGGGGGAGCAGGTTGAAGCCCACAGGACAGGTCTCCGCGCTGTCTCCTCCGGGACTGCCCGCAGGTGCAGGGACACTCTCTTCCCTCAAAACTCGTAATTTATGTTTTAACAGTTTAATCTGTTTTACGAGTTCGTTGTCTTGTTTCGAGTGGGCTAGAGTGAAATGCTGCCGTTCCCAAGAGGTCCGTGCAAAAATACTTTTAGACTAAGTAACGTTTAAATCTAAATTCTTAGAAAGCTTTTTCTGTAATCAAGGAATAAGAGCTATCAGAGGAGGTGCTTTGTTCTTCAATATAAAGCAACAAGGATCACTCCAGGCAAAAAGGGTGAAACTCAGCCCGAGCTGTGACTGATGCAGCAGAAGGGACACTGGCAAGGTGTCACTGAGCATGGTGTTGCTTATTTTGGGAATACGAGGATGTGATCCATGGCAGTAGTTTTTTTCAGCCTCAAAGCCCTTAGGACTTCTAGCTGATTCCTGCAGAAAGCTTCAGAAGCCTGTATTTTGGTCCAGAAACTCTCCTGTGGCTCTTTCACTCTCCTCTGGTGATACAGTTATTAGCTTTCTATAAGTGATTCTTTATTACTTGGTTTTAAAACTCTTCGGGGAATTCAAATGAGTAAGCAGGTACTCTTTTGCTGCCGTTTGTAAAATGTCCAAATAAATAACTGCAGGCCTGCCCAGATGTTACTGCCCTTTGCAATCCTTGCTAGATCCTTTAGCATAAATAATAAAGCTTGTCTACCATATTTATTTTACTGGTTGTAGTAAATCAGATGAATTAACAGGGACTATCTACATGTTCTACACTTTCTACATGTTCTATCAAAAACTCTTAATAGTTTTTCCATCCTAATCATTCCGTAGTTTCTCCGATGAAAGTCACCACTGTCATTTTGCTTTTAACTTCTTTGCCAATCTCCTTAATACTTATGCATGATCAATTACTACACCATATAAAGGTACACATTGTTATGCTGCTAATGAATTTAAATTTATTGTCTGTATCTGTGTGTCACATAATAAATAAGTATAGTTGAATATAAATATTCATTCTTGCTAAAAATGTGTGATCTTACATCTTCATTTTTGCACTAGCTGATGGTGGTACTTTTAAAGCAACACTTACCACACTATTACCCAAACTTAGTAAACACTAGCATTCTTAAACTGCCTAGCATACCTTCCAGTTTGGCATATTTATTTTGACATTTTGAAGGGGATGAAAAACTTGGGGTCTGAAAGGCAACTACTACTAGACTTTGACTTTCAGCAGCAGGTCTTCCATCAGATACTAATAATAAACATAATAATGCAGCCTCTAGTGGTTACATCCACAGTTTGATATTGGAGTATATGCAACTGAGATGGTACAAAGCAACAAAGTACCACACAGACACTCATCATTGCTGGTCTGCCCAGTGGAAAGGAGAATCAAAAAATAAAGAAAAAAACTTGTGGGTTGAGCTAAGACCAGTTTATTAATGGAAACAAAATCAAATATAATAATAATAATTTCAATAGTAGTTTTATTGAGGAGAGAGAGAAAGGACTAAAACTGAAGATGAACAAGTGATACATAGGACAATGCTTACCAGCTGCTGATCGATCCCATCACCGAGCAGTGGTTGATGCCCCCAGCCAACCCCAGTTTACATGCTGAACATAACATTCACTGGTCCAGGATATCCCTTTGGCCTTGTCAGATCAGCTGTCCCAGTTATGCACCCTCCTGGCTTCTTGTGCACCTGCTTGCAGGGAGAGTATGGGAAAGTGGAAAGTCCTTGATTTAGAGTAAGCACTACTTAGCAACAACTAGATTGGTGTAGTGTCAACATTATTCTCATACTAAATTCCAAACACAAGATTGTGCCAGCTGCGAAGGAGATTAACTCTATCCCAGCTGAAAAAACACAGACAGTACCATCATACAATGAGTCTTCAAATTCTACAGATTCTATTTTGTACAGCAGGTTAGGTTAGATGATTGCTGCGGTATATGATCTTCTGTCTTTAAGTTAAATAGATTCAAAAATTAGCTATCCCAATGAAAGTGCAAGGCCTTTTTTTTTTGCTTGATAGACTGTGCATTTGCCCCAGCTCTTCTCTTTATGAAGCTAAAGACTTGTGCTTGGGTAAACTTGCTAGAAGTTGTTTAGACTTGATATCAAGACTCAACAGTTTGGAGAATTCTTTACTTCTGTTGTGTTTTAGGACATCAGCTAATTGCATCTACAGCTATTATTATTCCAATTTTTCAGTAGTTAAGGAACTTTTTGGTACTCAGGCTTTTCTCCTTGTAAGCATTCTTGTACGCAGGCATGAAATAATTTCCCAGCTTATTTCTTGATAAAGCAAACAGAACAACTCCCCTCTTCTAAAGAGGGCAGAGTTAATTTGAACTGCTTTGCATTGGCCACAAACCCAGACTGAGTGTCCAGGTGGTGACTGTGAGTCAGCTCACACATGGCACCTCATTACTCTGCAGTGACACTTTTATTAGTGTGTGCGAGTCCTGTGTCTCTTACTGAAAGGCTGTTTTCTCAGCGCTTCCATCATTTTCATAGTTCTAACACCTCAATAAATTATTCTCCTGGTTCTCTACTCCTTCATTGTTATATTCAAGAATATTATTAGACTTGCTGATCCCAATGTCATACTCAGGCTCATCTAACCCTACACTCTGGTCTTTAGCTATTTATGAGTGATACTTAATTTCAACACTCCATTCTTTGAACCTGCGAATAAGTACTGAAGTGGAATGCCTTGATAACGAGACAGTTGTGAACTAGGTTTTCC